GTAACTTGATCTTGAAGAGCATTCTGTACCTCTTCACAATTTTCTCATTTCAACTCCCTCTGTTGTTGCTACTACACAGAAAAACAGCTAAAATTCGCTGATTAAATGACCCAATGCATTCAGAAGGTTGCGTCAGATGTCAAAGTGGGCTATGCCACGAGTCATGACTCGCTCAGTTAGATCGAGTCACAACTGAATGCGCAGTATCGACACTGTTGTGACCGATCACGTTGATGATGCCGACCAGCAGGTCAACTATTCGGTTGAATTCCTCAGCATTCTTAATCATCTGGGCCACCCTCCTGTCCCTCTCTCTTATTCTTGGTTATTTTCGCACATACTGCCAGGGAGAGCACGCTGTGCCTCAGCATCTCTTTGATGTATGTCTTTTACGAAGTATCTTCAAATGTAGATCAAAATTTAGCTTCAAGAATCTGGCTTAAATTGCTCTAAGTTGAAGAGCTGCGCCAAAAAAGGATAGTTCCTTAGGCAGAAGATCGCAATTGTTGCCAAAATCTATTAGTTATCTTTATTCTTGGAGGAACTAAGGATTTCAAACCGAATGAATAAAATATAACATCCTGAGAAGGATTAAACTCTGGTGTGCAACATATATTTAGTATATAATGTAAGAATAGGAAATCAGGTTAGCAGTTATACAGCAAGAGACTGTAGATACAGCATATACACATTTCATGAAATCCCAATCATGACTGAATATATCTTCACAGGGAAAAAATGAATTTTTATTATGGTATAGGGGATTATCCCATTTTGGGGAACAATAGCTTCTTTACACCTAACCTTGCAAAACGCGACTATGCCTCGCCATCTAGCATACATTTGACGCATACACAAGGAAGATTCTCTTTGGTACCTTCTGGTTGTCTCATTCTACATTAAATAAATATTTTGAACACAATCCCTTCCATGACGCCTAGTTTTGTTGGGGACACGTTGCAAAAGTGAAATGACAAAGATAAGAATAATGTAGTAGTAAGGGACAGGACTGAACATAACTCTACTGATACACGATCAGTAGACGAGGATACACTTACATTTGATGCAAGTTCTATGGACATCATTTCTGACGAACTTAGGTTAGATTCCTTGGTCGCAACCCGAGGAAGATCCTTTGGTTTTAGATAGGGGACCCCCCTCTGCAAGAATGACACGGCTTGTTTATGAAAGACAGATGTAAGACGTAGGCAAAGTTCATACCTTATTTGCTTTAGGTAACCCTTCTGTGGCGTTCAGTTTTGTAAAAGTGACTTCCTTCAGTCTCGTCTTTTCTCTTCTCTCTTCCCCACGCGGTTGAGAAGCAGTAGTGCGCTATTGAAAAGGTCAAAAAGAGAAAACATAAATCATGAGGGAAATTAGCACCAAAGACACAAGCATCATGAGACCCTTACCATGGGTGCTTGCTCTTTTAGTTTCCCGATTAAAGAGGGACGGCTCGACTGCTCGATTGCGTTCACTATTCCAAAAACTGAAATGCATTTATTTAAGCGGAATTTATAGTATTTGAATAAAATATCCGAATCCAAATATATCGAAGCGCCGACGTATTTCTATTAAATGCATCTGGAAAACGTGATTTTCACCGATTCGTTGGATTGCTCCATTTGCATGCAATGATTGGACACTGCTCTGAAAATAAAGGATTACATTTTGTGATGGGATTTATCAAGTACCTTTATCTTGGGGAGAAGTTCTACGCCGACTTTGGAGATTTGAAGTCTTCTGTGAGAAAATTTGGACTGGTCTTCCCGGTATAGTGCATAACAGAAGATTCGTTAATTGCAGTGCATAACCAATACATTTGTTTACCTTATCAATCCCAACCATGATGTGATTCATGAACACAGAAATCCTCAGCTAATACGTTCTCTTTTTAACCACCTCCTTGAGACGTGAAAGCCTCCTCTTGCCCGTTTTTATTTAAGACACAATGAGCCCTGCACAATGTATTAAGATTTACAATGAAATATTCCAGGATGGCTTCAAACAGATGCGACATTGAGACAAACGTACATCATAGAATGTTCGCGTTGAGACATCGAGAATAATATATTTCCATGTTTATAACTCATTACTATTCATATCAATTATTAATATCTACCACGACTTACCAAGACTTGTAACTCCTGTGAACTGTCGATACTGGTACGAAATATGTCATAAGTCGCGTCCAAGCATATCCTTTTTCAGTGAAGAGATTTTGAACCCTCTGTATAGCCGTACTTTCTTTTTATTTTCGTGCCTTAAATTCGATAAAAGAGTTTAAAATGAGGTATTGCCTATGATATATGCCATGGGAGAACATACATTCTCTTGGCAAAAGAGGCAGTTTGGCCAAGTTGATACTCTCATGCTAATTCATAAACCATTCTAGAATAAGCGTCTGTCAGTAACTCACTCACTAACATCTACTGTATATATATGTTAGATTCCACCCTCTCCTTCCTTGTCTTCATTTAGAGGACGCTACATTTTATAGCTGCCAGGAGAAGGCATTGAACCGAAGCTATCGTAGTTTGACGCAGACGCCATGCATCATCAGCATCTGGGCGTTGTGCCGCATGATATAACATTGCATGGTTAGGAAGGTAGCGCGTTGATGTGATGATGAATACAAATCGAAGACAAAGACAGATGCAGAGGTCGTCGGGGAGACGACGTAAAATATTTGCATTCTACCAAAATTCCACTAATACGTGTACCACTGAGACCATTTTCAAAACCTGTTACTTCATGAATTCAGGGAAATCTCACCTTTCTTCGATGACACTGGACTCGAAATATCCTCGCAGCTTTGGTTCCATTTCCGACTGAGACGAAACAATTCATCTGTTTCAAGCTTTAGGCCACATTGGTACAGTGCGTCACGCAGTGCTCCAAAGGTGGACGGTTGACCTTTGGTCGAGAATTTCCTCCATTCACAGAGAAGGCTATATATCGACCACATTGGGCTTTCCGTCCTCTGTTTTATGTTTTCAACCGTATCTTCACGAAGTTTCAAAAATAATCCGAGGTTCTTCAAAGATTTCGTATAATGTTGCAGTTTGGTAGCCATGGCGAATATCTCCTCATCAGAGGGCGTTCTATGAGTATGACAGTCATAAAGTTACATTTTGCTATATCCAGGACGTTTGTTACATTCTCTCAAATGTAGTTCCGAAATTGAAATGATTCTATTTTGAGTCTTACTCGCTCAAAAAGGTATTTGTGACCACATGCTCCTGTCTATGAACGGCTTCCCCTGTAAATAAGAAAACGGAATCAATAAAGAATTCCCAAAAATTCTACTTGTTAGAGATCAAGTAAGAAGTTTGTTCCATCTCTATTAGCAGTTGAATGGGATTGGGTCGATCAAATGTTGAAGTTATATTGGAAATTTTAAAAAGTTCCATGAAATTTGTTTTCAAACACTGCAATACATTTTTAAAAAATCGTTTTTGGAACAAAACATGAATTTTCAAAAATTAAGATTGACTTTCAAATCACCATGGATATGGTCATCCATTTTGGTACATATCTTTATTGAAGCAGTTGTCATCTACTTGTTTTTACCATTTGTAATTATCTTTCAATGAAGGGGTTCATACTTTCGATTTTTGCACTTAGTACCATCTCTGAACCTTAACCATAGACCCTTATAACCTTAACCACAGACCAAACCTCAAACCACGCTGCAATTTTTGATTAGGGTAATTTGATCAGGGTAAGATTAGAGCAATTGCTAATTTACATGCAATAGAGAATGTGGTAATAGAATACTGTGTATTCTGTCCATTATTCATAAAATGCAGGGAACATAAGCTTCTTGAATTTTTTTTAAGGAATCGAAATGCATTGTGCCCTATAAATGTTGAAGAGTAAGCATTCCTATTTATTTTATGGGTTTCTGGTGAAAGTTGCCTTAAAAGCCAAACCAGAGATAGGAACTTCCATTGTGTGTAATAGATATGGTTGCTATACTTGCTCGGTAATGAATCGGTGAGCCGTCATGTGTCTTGCATTCTAAGATTCAGATGTCCATAACCCCCTCTGAGGCATCCGAAAGTGAGAGGAAAAAGGAGTCGGAGAAGAACGAACTTAGTTCAAATATGGTAATCACACCACCACGAATATTTTCCGTAAGTCCATCACAAGCCGTCGTTATTACCTTGGAGGGAAAAATTGATATAAGGTGGTCTTACAATCTCTGTCCTTCAGCAGCAAAATACTGATGTCAAAAACTTAAAAAGTGAATCGACTGTGACACTGGAGCAGCCGAGACGTAGTTCATCGTATCCGACTCATTTACCACAGAGGCCTGATGGAGCTTCACTTGATCAACCACAGGAACCTAGTGGAAGGAAAGAAGACAGCGAAAATAATGGCATTTTCGAAAGGCTAGTCACTCTCTCTACAAGTTCACCCAAATCAGGAAAAAGAGTTTTAGTCTGATTACATTAATTGATAAGGTACTCAGGACAGCATAATGGATTGGTGAATGAGCTCATGAACTCATGATTATAACTCATTATAACTCATGATAAATTGAGAAAATTGGAATTGAATTCAGTCCTGTCATCTCATTTCCGAAGCATCTAAAGGAGTTGTTCAGTGAAGACAGTCATGTTATTCCCCAGTCTAATATTTTTTGTGGTCCATCAAACTACGTGCCCCAAGATATGCAAGAGTCCGATTGTATACTCAGAGGCACTTATGAAATTATTGGACTCCTTTCAGCCATATGAATTAGTCACAGGATTAAGTTACAAGCGAACTTTTCAGGAATCTAAGCTTGAACAAGTATTATCTTGTCAGTAAAAACAAGTAGGTTATGCTGGTATTGAAGACGGATTTGGTGGCGTACCGTTTTTAAGCAGAAGTTTAAATATTGGAAGGCTTGCAATGAAAGCAATTGAATTCTCTCCAAAATGACCGGTTACTGACATGATTCGGGAAGAATTTCAAATGTGCATTCTTAAACGAATTGGGACTGTAGTCGCTGTTGAGAAAGAGAAGAAATGGGGACATATTCCATGTATTTCACTTCATGTGTTCTGATGATGAGGATCGTAATAGATTTTATAAATGGTAATTTTATAACTGTTGACAGCGAACTTCATTGACATGAATTTTCCTAATGCTGCCTGCTCTTGATTTTGTGCCGTCAGAACTCTCCAAGAAGATGTAATATCTGACATGCAATGCTCTCTCCTGATAGCGATGGTTCTTCTCACTTGTTTGGCACAAGTTGTTAGTCAATTAGTTTCCTATATCCTAAGCAATGGAATGAATCACGATCACCCATTAGGGCAGTTTCTATTTTTTTATTTTTAAAAATACCTATCATAAATATTTTGTACTAAGTGTTCTTTCCGTCTGTCTTTAGCATTGACACAACCCTCCTTGACAAGCGTTGTATATGCACATCCTAATTCCGCGAATAAATCTCTGTTCGACTTCGTCTCGCGACCGAAACTCGCTCATGATCCTAGGCCCCATTTCGTGTGTGTTTAGGAACCTCTTCGAATGATCCCACAAGTTCTTGCTGGGATTACGGTCGGGTGATTGGGGCGATGAATCCGCGAGTTTGATGGTTTTGTGTCTGAACCGCTTTCAATGTTTTTATTTTCTTATATAACAAAAATTTTGACCTTTAAACTTGGGATGAGTACCAAAATTTAAAATCCTGAAAAAAAAATTAAGTGGAAAGTTCCATGTTTTCTCTAGCGATAAAAATTTTTACAAAATATCAATATTTTTCTATTTGGGAAAACAATTTTTGAATCAGCCCATCCCAACAACCAATGTTTTATAGCAGCTATTCCACGATGCAACACAATAAGTAAGACCCTTTCCTCGATTTAGGTGATATTGCGTCATTTGGGTCTATTCGAATTCCTTGATCAATGTATCAATTCACATGAAATCCCTTGGGGATGAGAACATTAAAAGGACAACCTTTGAACTTCAGGTGAACAGCCAAATGTCGAATCTTAAATCATAAAAGTTAACTATGTTCCGCACGCCGCACGCCGAATGAAATCATCGAGTTCACGAAGATCCCGAAGTGGACCGTCTATCGAGTCGCGGCCGACTTCAAAGCTGCCGAAGACGAAGAAGATGGATCGGCAACGTCGCTCCACAAGAAGCACGATCGATCCGAGTGGCAAAAGCGCAATGCCGACTTCATCAAGCAGCTGCAAGAGCTCGTCGACGCCGATCCGAGCACTTCGATGCGAAATCT